CTGCCCCTCCATCGCCTGCATCCACTCCATCACCAGCAGTCCTCTCACCGAAGGCTGCCCCTCCATCGCCTGCATCCACTCCACCATTAACAGTCCTCTCACCGACAGCTGTGCCTCCATCGCCTGCATCAACTCCATCACCAACAGTCCTCTCACCGAAGGCTGCCCCTCCATCGCCTGCAACCACCAGTATCCCTGCCATATAAAGCCTAAAAAACAAGAAATCCAAACATGTAAAAAAGTGATATGTTCAAAACATTTCCAATTCCGCCTGGTTTTGGGGTAGTGCGTCACTTTTTTTAAAACTGCCAAATATTAATTAAGATCAGAAAACAACTCTTTTATTTTATGTAGACCGACTTAACAGGAGTATCACCGTCTTTTAATAGGGGCTTGTTGGCAGGGGTATCAAAATAAAAAATAAACTGGACACGGGTACCTCCTTTATTGTCATTTTTATATATAGGCAGGAGTCTATCTCTTGTTTGAAACTGTGGTGGCTCTGAAAAGAGCTGTTGGGTTTTATGCTTGGATGATGTGCTGCACATGTCTAGGGACTGTTTGTGTTTACTTCTTGTGGACACGCTCTCGTAAGTGGATCATCCTTCTGAGATCTTTTCTGTTCGTTTCGGATGTAAAGGTGAATTTGCAGAGGTTGCAGCTTCCTGGCGCCTTCTCTTGGACGTCTGGCATATACTCATCTGGGGAGCCCAGGGTTGCTTTGATGGCCTCCAAAAATGTCAAGAAGTGATCTGGATTAAGTTGGGATGGGGTTGGTGACAGAAAGTTTTGGTAGAATGCAACTGCCTCGGGATTCCTCGATGGTCTATCAGCACTGTGTTGGCACGGGTCGGTTGGTGGACATTTTGTAAAAATGACCATGCCAACTCTGCAATTCAGATGTGTCTTGAAGAATTTCATGTCGTCCAGGAAGTTTTCTGCGTTCTTGATGTCCCCGTAGGGCCAAGTAAGAAATTGGTGTGCCTGGTCATAGTCTTCGTTTGTGTATGGGCTGGGTCTGTCCTTGCTCTTCCTGTGGCTAACCTTGATAGGTACTTTACTATGTGTCAACCCCTTCCAGTACCCTTCCAGAGTTTCCAGAGCAGCATCAAACACTTGCCCTTCTTGCTCCTTCAATGCTTGCCCGGTCAAGTGTTGCTGTGTTGGAGGGAGTTCATCAGGCAAGGCATCTGGTAGGTATACTGATGTTGCTGCAGTGGTGAGAACTCCCCATACATGCTCTATGGGGTTATGCGCTGAGAAGCCAGGACAGAATGTGGTTGCACTCATTCGTCAGATCATTGACATTAATGTCTGCACCACCATCCGCAACGATCGTCACACAAGATTTCCCAATTCTCTCTATCAAGGGCATCAAATCATTGGAGTGGCTTGCAACAGTTGTTTTTGTGTGAGGGCCTCTATTCACAACATCAATGGCAGTGCACTCTGGAAGCCTGTCAAAGGACAATGAACAGAGAAAACGCAGTTGTATTTACAATTTTATTTACAAGTAATTGATTTTCCTTAATTAATCGAGTGTAAATATCACTGGATGTCTCATTACAAATATGTTAATGAGCAGGGTGTAGCCATGGGGGCAATGCAATGTGTGCAAAATCTAAACAGTTCTGTGGCAACTTTTGCTGGCAAAACCACACCACTGACAGCTGGTGCTCGCCCCATATGATGCTGGTTGCCCAAACTAGTAAAATCCCAGTAACACCACTGTAAATGGAGGAATATAGTCAGCCGCTGTATGGAGAATATACAAAGAAATGCATTGACAAAGAAATCAACAATTCATACACTATCAGGCAAAATTGTGCATCATCCACTATTCAAACATGCAAACCTACCGATAGCTCTGTCTTCCAAGCTTGTCAATTATCAGCACAGGTGGGGATGGAGGTGTCATTTGCATGTACCCGGCTGGCGTCATCAGGTACCCTGGTGTAGGAAAGTCATGGTCGTAGAGGTTGGGGCTGTCATCAGTTGGGAAAAACCATGTGACAGAACATCTCCGGTCAACTGGAGGGGTGCGCGAGCTTACATGCAGCTTGTTCTTGTTGTCAACTGAGAACAATACCAAGGTGTCAGCGAACTTGCTGCAAGCCTCTCTTTTATACTTGACTCGAGCAGAGTAATAATGGTCATTGACGTTCTCTTTCCTCCTGTTGTTAGGCTTCGCAGCCACCTTGGTGTCTATGAGGCCAATCTCTTTGTAGCACTGTTCCTTAGAGACGGTGGTTTCATCCACTGGTGAATAGTATTTATTCCTGTCAAACAAAATAGGAAGTTCGTTTGAAGTATTGAAAATATAGTCGTATTTTGTATCATGCCACCCTACCCCCCAAAAAAGTTAGAATTGCAGGCACCATCTCGTTAGAGAAAGTTGATTTCAAACGTCGTTACACAACAAAGCCTTTGCCACAAGATGCTTGTCTTTTAATGTCATTTTTGACAAATACTTGACATCGTAATCTTCCTTCAGACTGAAAGGGACACTACCACGTTACACTGATTGGATATCCAAACACCAAGCTTTGATCATGTTTATTTCATCAACTTCAAGTTGATAAATAATTGGACGTTCATTAAAAAATTCACACATTAGGACCATACTTTGCAAGAATCCCATGTACTTGAATTACATCCAAGATACCTATGTTTCCTTTGAGTTCTACTAGACCGGGTGTTACTTCCAGTAAGTGCTGCTTAATAATAGGATAAGATGTGCCACATTTCCCTGTTGTCGATCCCCGATGCCTGTGAGCCTCAAAGCCGTTCTCTTCAATGATTTTTTTTGCGGTGTCCACAATGCCGGGAAACAGTTTGGCAATGGGAGGTCTTCCTCTTTTTGCCAGGGGCCTGTCCTTGTTTGCTGTCCCTTTCCATTTTGGAGCGTCAATTTCTGCAATAGGAAAAGCAAACTGGGATAAAAACATGTCTGGGTAACAGCCTGTGTATCATGAAATGATTGGATGGAAAGGACCAGTTGTATGTTGATATTCCCAACGGATCCTGTAATCAATCTCAAAGGATTTTGTAAATGTTTTGATTTCCATTTTTTTTTCAAAGTATATTGCACCAGATCACGTCAGTGCGCGTCAAGTAACACTCAACGTAGTTTCGACACGCTGACAGTCGTGCCTTTCGAACAAAATTAAATAGGCCTACACTGAAAGACAAAAGTTCAACAGCATGTGGGGTAACATTGCCAAGTTTTTACATGACGAGTTTGAAAACGCTGTGGGGAAGTAGCATGAACGTCTACGATAACATCACATGCATATACCAGGTCTATGACGAGACAGAGATTGGTCAGCATAATATGAAATTCTTCTTCAGCAACATGTGCATGTATTTCAGTTACAACATGGAGGAAGGAAAGGACATTCAAAGGAAAGATTACAATTCATAGAACACTGCTTGCGACAAATTATAAAATCTGCTGCTAGTTTTTAACGACGACATTTTCGGTCAATGCGCACGCATAATTTATTAGGCAAGTTATGCATCAAAAGTCCTTTATGTGCATGTTAATTTGCCCATGAAGATAGTTCTCCTGACATTTTACACAGAAATTTACTGGGAGGTTTTTCTGAACGATGTACATGTATTTGTAGCCATACAAATTTTATCTCACTTTGCAAAGCACAAGATTAATGCCAAACATGATTTTCTGTATAAGATATGTATCACATATAGGGTATCAAATCATTGCAGTGGCTTGCAACAGTTGTTTTTGTGTGAGGGCCTCTATTCACAACATCAATGGCAGTGCACTGATTGATTGCCAAGTTTTTACATAACCATAACTGTCTTTCGTGTTATTGAGTTCAGCTGGGAAAGACCTATAGCGGATCAATGGGCATAATAATTGTTTGAAAATGTCATTACTTTTCCATGGACGACTGGAATTACTGGTGTAATAATTTTGATGCGGAGCCCATAAATGGATCAACACTCACATTCCTTGATCAAGATCGAAGACGACGCAAAAAATAAGGTTGGAACCATTTGACACTTTGACAATCAAGGACTTGTTGCAAGGAAAATTTTATATTTAGGCAAGGAGAACGCCAAAGACGAGCAATATCGCTGACAGCCTTTCTAAGTTTATTGTTTGGACGTAATTCCCTCTGGAATGATCATTCCAGAAATCATTATACAAATCAACTTTTTTGCTTATCACAAAAAGGGTGTGGGATGATTCCACGGCCCATCATCCCACCACCAAAGGTGGGGAGATACATAACCTACCCCCTCAGGATTTGTGTAAATGAGAAAAATAAATTATTGGCAACAGTACTTTCCAACATTACTTAGTCTAAGGCCCGCCCCCAGGAAATGCTGTGTCAATACTATTGAGGTGACTTAACAACATTCTGTGTTGACCGGTCACTGCTGCTATACCCATTTCACTTTGTTAACCATTCAACTGTGGCGATTACCTGACCGCAAATAACTTGGGCTACTGCCCGTGGCAGCCTGCAACCCAAGCCACCAGCTCTCGTTTATGACAAAAACCGCAAAACCTATTATAAAGAGAAAGTTAGGGCAGGATTAAGGTACCAACTTTTACGACAGTGTGCTGGTAATGTACCAACATACGTATATTGGGCAAACCGGTACATGAGGCAGCACCTGCGGCCACCTCGCATAAAACCATGCACATTGAGCTGAACCCTGTACAAACATGATACCCATGACCACGAGAACTCCCCAAGACATAAGTTCCAAGTAAACGCCAAAACTTAAGGGCGTTAGTCAAGAATGTCAATGATACCCACGATCACTGAGTTGAGAACGTCCAAAATGGCTCTCGATTTATTTAATACCAGGCACGATATGATAATTAGGTACTATCAACCTAAAGAACACAAGAGTATGATATTTACTGACGCTAGTTTTTCATGCATAACATAAAGGAGGAAACTTTTACGTAACCCAGTACTTGTTTTAAGAACTGTATTTTAAGTCAGTAACTTACAGTATCATGCAATCTAAATTTCCCACCACTGGAACATGCGGCCTGGTGTAGCCCGTGTGGAACGTCACGGGCTATTAGTAAGATACACACGTGTACTGGTATTAATAAATTGAACTATGATGTTCAACTCCCCATTGTCATGCCGTGTGGCACATCACAGCGCTTTAGACAATTTAACTTACAAAGCTCAAGATTTAAAAGATGTATAGAACAGGTACATGTAGCTTATCATTTTTTAACAAACAAATGGTGTTCCATTCTTATTTCGTGTCAAAAAACTGCCACTCGTGGGAACCGTGACCCACGGAAAAAGAACAGAACACCGATGAACGCCTCTCCGACAGGGAAGTTTACAACATAGACAAAATGTAGCTACGCAGGTTTTCCCGAAAGATACCACAACCCACACATGACAGATGGACCCCGTCCCTTCTAAAGAGGGTTGCCACCGACCAAGTGAACTGTGGATGGTCAAGCACTCTGACCCCACGATGTCGATATTGTGATTTAGCCCATCTGTTAGATGTGTGGCGAACCCGCTCCAGGGACCGTTGTGACTATGTACCATAATAAAAAAGGTGCAGCAGTATCGTGGACCAAATAATGACGGTGTCTGGAAATTGCTCCCACAAGTGTGCGATTGCAATCACTATCACCTGTCGGAGACCGAAAAAATTAAGCTGCACCAAGTCATTCGTACCTAGATGAACAATAATTACTGCTGGATTCCCAACCAACCGCCCTAGCAGGTCTGGTAACTCGTGAATTCTCGCTCCACTCTTCCCTTTCCATATTACTTGAATAGGAACGCCCATGTCAAAAGTAGCCTATCGGATCAGGGAATCGCCAACAATCTACACACATAGAGATCTCGATGCCGGTACATGTACAGTATATGAATAAATGAAAACAGAGAAAGGCATTGCTAAACCCCAGGCACATTGGATAGTGGCAAGGGGCGCAGGTAACATGTAAGGGCGTCTGAACGCCATCGGCCTATTCACTGATTGTCCTCAAAGGGGACCCCCATGGCAAAGGCCGTTGAAGTGGCGCCCATCATTACTGGACCGAGCCCAGTCTAATGTGGCTTTTGCGAACCCGGGTTTCCCGGGTTCGCGTTCAAGACCA